TGTTTTGTATTACGGTTTGGGCTGTCCAACCGTGAGTCTTTTATGCTTTGTATATAAGCTTATGCTTGCATGCATATTAGGTTAAGGTTTTAGAGATCTGAGAATACGATATTTTCCAGACGACTAAAGGTTTCTTTGATCATACTTGTAACCTTCCAATCCTCTACAGTTGATGTTCTTAATCGAGCTCTTCTGAGGATTTTGTTTTAATCATTCGACACGTTTGATTCAATCTTGTTCTATTATTTTACTGTGTTTATATCGTCATTGTTTACTTCTGTTCAAGATCTAATCGATCTTCACAGATTAAAAGAAACTTTAATCTCATCAATTGGTATCAGAGCAGGAGGCTGTGTAATTGATACACATCTTTTCTGTGAAAAAGATTTTCATTAGGGTTTTTCCGCAATCATCAATATTTATTGAGCCGTCATCTCTTTATTGACGTATCTTGATATTTATTTTTTGCCCTAATCTGCTTTATTACAAGTCTGATCTTTGAACAGGTTTTTCGATCATAATGGACGCAACACAATCAAACGTCATTAATTTCCAACAGCATTGGTTCGACGACAAAGATTCCGATCTTATATACCCATGATTATGAAGTATGGGCACATCATTTCGAAGACTATGTTATTGGATCGGAGGAAAATGGGTATTTGATTTGGGAAGCCATCACAAACGGGCTGTTTTCTCATTCTGCAACGTCCAGAATCATTAAAACTCAAAAAAATACAATGATCTGCTCAAGGACGTGAAAGACATTGCACAAGATGAAAAGGATAAGTTCCAATGCAATATCAAAGCACTAAGATTGATCCGGTTCGCCCTTCAGTCCGATACATTCAGATTGGTTAGCTCGTGCACGACGGCGAAGGATGTTTGGGACAGACTTCGCGAACTGTACTCTACAGACGAAGATCTTGAACATTCTATTCAAACTCTGCTTCTATCTGAGTTTGGAGAATTCAGACAAGGGGCTGAAGAATCTGTGACCAGACGTTCGATCGCTTCAATCATCTTCTAAGCAAGATGATCAAACATGATATCGAAAGGAAGCTCATCGAACAGAAGGTTACATTCCTGAATGGTCTAAGGTCTGAATGGAGAGCAGTAGTTTCCACGGTTAAAGCCCATGAGCAATTTAAATCATACTCTTTGGCGAAACTGGTGGGAATTCTCAAGTCTCAAGAGAAAACGTGGTGCAAGAAAGAATGTCGTTTCCGGTCTCGGTTCGTTGGCTCTCTTGTCAAAAAGTAAAGCCGTTATGGAGATGAAGACCTCAGCCTGGAAGAATATGATCTCACATCAGAAGATTATGCCTTGATGGTATCCAATCCCAAAAGGTTCATAAAGAAGAAATTTCCCAGCAACAAAAACCGAAACTGGCAGGGGAGTTATAGCTCTGAAAAGGTGGTTAATGAACCGAAAGCTGAGGAGCACAAGAAGGAACCGAAGGTTGACGGAGACTCTGGGGTGAGCTGTTTCTACTGTGGTGGGAAAAATCATTATGCTAAGGACTGTGTCCTCAAGAAAATGGCTGAGAAAGATGATGGGAACGATGAGGAAGCTGTGTTGCAGAAAAGATTGGATGAGTTGAGAAAGAAGAAGTCTGCCTAACCCGCCTAGTAATGCTCTTATTGTGCAGGGTTCTGTTCCAGGTGATGAGTTCGGTAGCACGGAAGTTTGGTCTACCGACTCAGAAGACGAGGAAGTGAGGCAGCCTACTCATGGAAAGGCGTTCGTGTCTAAGGAAGAAGGCAGTGGTGGTAAATGCCTTATGGTTTCTGACGTATCTCAATTGAGGGGATACAACACTGATGGAGGCAATGATGGACAGAATGCAAAGGAGGGCATGTGCTTCACAGCCAAACCACTCAGCCAGCAGTTCAATGAGCTTGATGAACTGATAAAGAAGGTACAATCTGTTTTTATTTCATGTAAAGTACCATCATCCTCTTATGAGAAAGAACTAAAAAATGTCAATACAAGAATATCTCATCTAGATAGTAGCTTAACTCAAACTCGGGTCACAAATTCTAACCTAACTGATCAATTGAGCAGGGCAGCGTCGAAGAGTGAGGAGCGGAGAATGTGGATAGAGTTAAAGGAATCGGAATTAGTCAAAGTTAAAGATGAAAACATTTATTTGCAAAGAGACAATTTGAAATTGTTAAAACAACGAAATGTTTTTTGTTTAATTGCTAAACGTCTATTCTAATATTACTCAGCTTCACTTGGATTGTGAAATAGGCCAAAGGATTCACCGCATGATCTTGCCCTTCCTAGAATTTAAGGAAGATGAAATCGATGCCGAAGCCTATAATTGTGAAAGTGTGATATCGTCTGATGACATAATCCCACCTACATGTATGGACTGGACAAAATTGAGTCCTTCATTAAATCCAAAGACCACAAGCTCATGCTTAAAAATCTTTTGGATGAAAATGACAGACTTAAACTGAGGACCGAAACCATGCAAAAATTTGACTCTTTAAACGCCAACGTAAGCTCAGAAAACAAAATTGATGTTGAAAATGCATCTGAGCTTAACGAGGACGACAATATGAGTGAAATTTCTGTAGAGGACACGGTTGACTGCTCAGAATTTATTAAAACCGAGCCAGAAAATCACAAGAATCTAATTTCTGAAAATTCTGTAGAATTCGCTCGGTTGTCCTATCAAAAGTCCCCGAAATTAGTTGAGAAAGCTGTTGTGTATCAAAAGGTCAGGACTACTCCAAATCAAGTATACAAGGTAACAGGAGTAACCGAACATCAAACAGCTGAACTTGCAGCCATTGTAAACGAAGACAATGCTGATGGCTGTGATGAGTACTTCTGGGAAGCTCCTATTGATAATGCAGACGAAACCATTGGTTTATCTGAAAGAACTTCCTGGAAGAGCAAAGGAAGATACATACCCGAACCGTTGAATAAGCCAAACAACTTCAATGAGCCGAGCACTAGTGGTACAAAAGATACTCCTCAGAAGAATGTTCACTCACCAAAAGAAGACATTCCTTCGGCTCCTTCAGCTCAAAGTAACTCTACTGCAGTTCAAATGGAACCGGTCAAGGAGTTGACAAAAACGAAAGCAAATGTTCATCATCAACCTTCTCAGATGCGGAATAGGAAGATAGAAAGGAACAATCGATACAGGAAGAACCTTTCTGAAAGGAAACAATTATAGCGTTCCCAGAATGCATATTTCACTCATCAAGACAAGAATCTAAAGTGTGAAAACATTCCTGCAGGAAAGCTTGAAAGTCACAAAACCGAAAGCCAAGGTTCGGTTCACAAGAAGATATCAACCGAAAGCCAAGGTTCGGTTCACAAGAAGATATCAACCGAAAGCCGAGGTTCGGTTCACAAAAAGATAACAACCGAAGGCAGAAGTTCGGTTCTGAAAAGGATATAAACCAGAACAAAGGTTCGGTTCCAAAGGTAGCTCCAACCGAACGCAAAGGTTCGGTTCTGAAGACAAAAGAGTACAAAACTCTAAGGTCGGTCCCTCCAATGATCAAAAACAAAAGGGTCACCTAGAGTCTCCTTCTAAGTCTAATTCTTCTCATTCTTCTAATTCTTCCTCAACCTCTGTTTCATCTCGATCTCGTTCTAAATCCGATTCGTCTTATTCTCAAAAATCTCATTCATCAACTGAGCAAAAGTGGAAGCAGAAGGTTAGTAAATCCACATCAGAGACCGAATCTAACTCTACTAATCTTAACAAAATAAAAGTTTACACCATTAAAAGGAAAGATAAAACAACTCTCGTGAAAAGAACTTATCTTGTTGATATCTCTCTCATTGCTCCTGTTTCAATGCAAAGCTCACGTGGACCCAAGAAACTTTGGGTTCCTAAATCTGTCTAAATTTTGCAGGTTATAAGTGACGAGCAGTTCGACGAAGAATGGTACATTGATAGTGGCTGCTCGCGTCACATGACAGGGAGGAAAGAGGAGCTTAGGGAGTACAGATCTCTTGCAAATGGTGGCAACGTCAAGTTCGGAAACAATTCTTTCGGCACCATAAAGGGATACGGGATGATAACCAATGGGGACTTCTCTATAAGGAAGGTGGCTTATGTGGAAGGACTCCAATACAACCTCATTAGTGTATCTCAACTGGTTGGAGGTACAGGTCTCAAAGTCACTTTCGATGATGAAGGTTCAGAAATCATAGAGAAAAAGTCAAATAAAGTGATTCTCAAGTCAGAGCGAAAGGGTGAAATGTTTCCCTTAAACATGAAACCTATCAAAGGAAACCCAACTGTATGCTTATTGTCAAAAGCGCAATCCGACGAAAGCTGGTTGTGGCACCGAAGATTATCTCATCTTAACTTTAAAGATATCAACCGTCTTGTTACAGGAGGTCATGTAAGGGGCCTTCCTTTACTCAAGTTCGACAGGGATCATCTGTGTGCTGCATGTGAAATGGGAAAGCAGAGTCGTCAAAGTCATCCATCTATAATCAACACAAAAGTTGTTGAACCACTCGAATTAATTCATATTGATTTGTGTGGTCCTTCATCTATCAAAAGCATCGGTGGTAGCAAGTATATTCTTGTTATCATTGATGACTTTTCACGATTTACATGGGTGTTCTTTCTAAAGCTCAAATCTGAAGCGACTCAAAAGCTGAA